ATGAGGAAGTAAGTCCAGAGAGAGCAATAACCCTTAGGAAATGTAAAAAGCCAGCCAATCCATGTGGAGTTGGGAGGGGGCACCTAAATAATGTGGTTAATCTAATTATTACGGTGGGCTTAATACAAAGCCCTAGAAGTCAGGCCTTTCTTAAAAATATTGCAAAATTAAATCTAAAAATATACAGTTCGTTATTGTATGTGTGTGCTATAAACATCCTGAAACCGTTCTTGAATGAAATAGAGTATAATTTTTTTAAGTTCTCTTTTGTTTTTTTTTTTTTGTTTTGAGGCAGGGGTCTCACTCTGTCACCCAGGCATGATCATAGCTCACTGCAGTCTTGAACTCCTGTGCTCAAGGGATCCTTCACTTCAGCCTCCCAAGGAGCTGGGACTACAGGCACATGACACCACCACTGTGCCTGGCTAATCTTTAAATTTTTTTTTTTTTTTTTTTTTTAGAGATGGAGTCTTACTTTGTTGCCCAGGCTGGTCTGAAACTCCTGGGCTCAAGTGATCCTTCTGCCTCGGCCTTCTAAAGTGCTGGGATTACAGACCTGAGCCACTGTGCCTGGCCTAAATTCTATAATTTTTTAATTGTGATTTTATTATTCTCATCACAAGTTTACTTAATTTGTTTTTTAAAATTCTAAATTTTTAATCCAGATGTTGCTGCTCATATCAGAAATATAACAGTTTTACATAATTTGGAGATAAGGAAAAAATTACTTGGAATTTGGCAAAGATTATCAAAATAAAACTTCCAGTTTATGTTGCTAAGCTGTCTCTTAATAGTGGTGTTACTGTTGGGCTATTCTCTCACAGTAACTCCAAAATGGAGTTACAAAGTTGTTTCAATACGTGCCTGTGTGTTAAAGTGAAAGCATGTGACATCCACACCAATAAATGGGTACCACATGGCAAAAATACCCAGAAGCAAGTCAGTAGTATGAAAGGGATAATTTAGTTCTGTTTCAGTTCATTTTTTCCCTTCAGAGAGAGAGAGAGAGAGAGAGAGAAAGAAAGAAAGGGAGAGACAGAGAGAGAGAAAGTTTATATTCCTACAGTGGAATCAGGCTTTTTATTTCAGTTTATGCATGTGGTTGGTTTAGTGAGGTTTTGTGCCTGTCTGATTTTAACGTTGACTTACAGCTTTTGGATACCAAATTTCTTTATCTTTAAAAATGGAAATGATGGAGGTGACAGTGGTATGCTACTCGCTTACCTCAGCTGGCATAGATATGGCCCGCTGTCTGCTCCTGGCCTGTCCTAGCTCCTGTTTAATAGCTATTTGTGTGTGCTTATCTTCTTTTCTAGGCTTTAGGGATCTACTCAGAAAATAATTACTGAGGTCTGGCGTGGTGGCCCATGTCCATAATCTTAGCACTTTGGGAGGCTGAGGCAGGCAAATTGCCTGAGCCCAGGAGTTCGAGACCAGCCTGGGCAATATGGTAAAACCCTGTCTCTACTACTACTACTACTACTAATAATAAAAAAAATCAGTGGGCATGGTGATATGTGCTTGTACTCCCAGCTGCTTAGGAGGCTGAGTTGGGAGGATCGCCTGAGCCTGGGAAGTCAAGGCTGCAATGAGCCAAGATCATGCTGCTGCACTCCAGCCTGGGCTACTGGAGTGAGAGCCTGTCTCAAAAACACAAAGCATTACTGAGGGTTTAGGTTGTAGATGCCTTGTACTGGCTTTGACCTTCATCATCAGAGAATATCTAGAATAGAGCGCCTTGAATATAGTGAGTACTAAGAAATGTTAAATGGCAAGGGCAGTTATTTCTTTGTATCTGTTCAGTCTGAAGTTCAACTCAGAATATACTTTCCATAAGTAACAATACTGTTCATGGCTAGAAACTTCACTGACCCTTAAAAATTATTTATTTCCGTTGCTTAAATGGAAGTCTTAAGTATTTTAAAAACTTTTGAAAATTAAAACATCTGTTTATCGTATAAAAGAAATTTCAGCAATGCATATCCATGACCATATTAAGTGGATATATAGCCATTTATAAGTTTGCCATTATATTGTTTTCATTTAAATCTTTTTGGGTAAACCCTATAGTGTAAAGAGCATGGGTTTTAGAGTCAGTCAATTCTGGTCAAATCCTGGTTTTGTAACTTATTAGCAATATAATTAATTGTATTAGCTCCAGCCAATTAGTTTGACTTTGGGCAAGTTACTTAATCGTTATGAGCTTTGTTTCTCCATCTGTTTTATAGGAATAATTAATATTTATCTTGCATGGTTATCTTGAGAATTAAATAAGGTTATAGATAAATTGACAGATAGGTAATACCTAGCATGTGCCAGATAATCGATACCACAGATTAATAGTTAATGTTAGTTTTCCTTTTACTCCATTTATTACTCTTATATTATTTTTGTACTCTTATATTATTTTAATATTAGAGTACAGTGTCTTAAACTGTTCGTGTTTTAATTGGATATCTAGAAGATAAAAGGCATTCTGTATTTTATGTCAACCCATGCTAGTAGCTTTTACCTATGGGAGTAAATCCGTGGAAGTAGTTTTGCTCAATATCTGCTAACATGAAGCAGCTTTCTATTTTCAGTTTTTTCCCTCAGATATTAGTTTGTTCTTTCTCTTTTTAATATGAAAAGCAGAATGAGGCCAGCATTCATTTATGTTAGAGCAGTGGTCTCCAGAATTTATTGAAGGGCCACAGTGTTACAAAGTTAAATGATGACTGCTGACTTTCAGTCTTCCTCTCTATACTAGGTACTTCTTTTTAAAAATGAGTTTTATTACAGGTTTAGATGATTATAACTATCACTACAAGGTCAAAAAGTTCCATCACCCTAAAAACCCCTTATTTTAGTCACATTGTTTTCCCCATACCTAACCCCAGACAACTACTATCTGTTCTCTGTTCCCATAGTTTGGCCTTTTCCAGAATGTCATATAAATGGACTCGCACTGTCTGTAGCCTTTTGAGAGCCTTGTTTCTTTCCGCATAATGCCTTTGAGAGTCATCCAAGTTGTCATCTATCTACAGTTTTTTCCTTTTTATTGCTGAGTAGTAGTGTACAGATGTACCAATTTGTTTATCCATCAGTGTTCATTTGGACTGTTGGAATTCTTTTTTTAAATATTGACTTTAGCTGGGCACAGTGGCTCACACCTATAATTCCAGCACTTTGGGAGGCTAAGGCGGGAGGATCACTTGAGCCCAGAGTTTGAGACCAGCCTGGGCAACAGAGTGAGACTTTGTCTCTGCGAAAAATTTAAAAATTAGCTGAGTGTGGTGGCACGTGCCTATGGTCCCAGCTCCCCTGGAGGCTAAGGTGGGAGGATTGCTTGAGCCCAGGAAGTTGAGGCTGCGGTGCACTTCCATATTATTTGTGATTGCACCAGGATGAGCAACAGAACGAGACCCTATCTCAAAAAATAAAGTGAAACAAAATGAAATATTGAGTTTGTAAGTTTGTCTTAATTTTCAAAGTAGAGTTATATATACTAATCATGGAAAAATTGGGAAATAAATAAAAGTTGGAAAAAATTACCCTTACCCAAACATAACCTCTGTTAACATTTAGGTATATTTCTTTTCAGCCTTTTTCTCTGTTCATGGGGTTTTTTGGCTTGTGGCTATATTTATGTAGTTGTGATTCTGTTTTTCATCTTTTTAAAATTATTATTATTTTTGTAGAGATGGGGTATTGCTGTGTTGCCCAGGTTGGTCTCAAACTCTTGCCCTGGCCTTCCAAAGTGCTGGGATTACAGGCATGAGCTGTTTTGCCTGGCCCTATTCTTCATATACTTTTAAAAATTATTATTATTGTTGTGGTAAAAAAACCTGTGAGAGCTACCCTCTTAGTAAACTTTTAGAGGCGCACAGTTGCAGTAGTGTTAACTATATGCACATTGTGCATATAGTGGGTCTCTAGAACTTTTCATCTTGTATGGCTAAACTTTTATACTCATTCAATGTCAATTCCCCATTCCCTTTCCCTCCAACCCCTGGCAGCTACCGTTCTACTTTCTGTTTCTCCGAGTTTCATGACTTAGATACTTCGTATTAGTGGAATCATGCAGTATTTGTCCTACTGTGAGTGGCTTATTTAATTTAGCATAATGTCCTCAAGATTCACCCATGTTGTGGCATAGCTTCATAAACTTTAGCATTCTGCTTTCTTTTAATGCTTCGTGAAGAATGTATTCAATGTAAGTTTTAAGAGATTACGAAGCACACACTAGTGTAACCATCAGCTGCATTAAGAATGGCATGTTGCCAGTATCCTAAGCTTCTTATATGACCCCTTCCTATCACAGATTCTTCTTTTTAACCTAGGGTAATTGTTAGCCTAACTTTGGTCATAGTCATTCCCTTACTTGCTTCCTAGTTTTCCAACCTATGTTTGTTCTTTAAACAATGTAATTTAGTTTTGCCTCTTTTTGAACCTTGTGGTCTCTTTTAAATTTTCATTTACTATTTGCTGTTGCTGTGTTATGATAAACCATCGTAAAGATGCTTTCTAATAGCCACTGAGTATCCTGATGAGTGATCGACTGTACTTTATGTAGCCATCCCTAATTTAGGTTGTTTATAATTTTACTATTGGAAATAATATACTAAATGTCTTTCTACCTAAAGCCTTTTTGTATGTAGGACTATTTCCTTTGAGTAGTATTAATATTATGATTAAGAGAGTATGAAGCTTTAGGGCTCTGATATATTGCTAAATTGTTTGCAAAGAATTTTACCAATTTATACCTCAGTGAAGTCTTATTTTCCCTGGTCAGCATTGAGGGTTTTCACTCTTTCCCCCAAATAAAACACCTTAGGGAATTTGATAAGCTGAAAAAAGACTATTTTATCTTATTTTGCATTTCTGAGGTTAAATCCTTCTCTGAAGGTGTAATATTTGGTTTTCTTTTTTGTCGACTTTTTCTCAGTTTGTATTGGGGTAAATCAGTTTCTGAAGCAATGGTTAATACAGCCTTGTGACCAGTTCCTTTATCTTCCTAGATGTAGGCGCAAAAAACTACCGGCATCTCTGTGCTGTTTATTACAACAAGAATCCTGGGTTTGAGATCATTCATGGGCTGCTGGACAGAATTATGCAGTTGCTCGATGTGCCTCCTGGTGAAGACAAGGGGGGATATGTGATCAAAGCATCGGAAGGTAAGACAGATGAGCCAAATCCAGAGTTAGTGACAGTGTCAGGAGGAGGCTACACCTTGTTTTTGATGAAGTTGGTAATTTTGATTTGGGATTTTAGAAAGAAAGGGAGATAGAGTTTTATTTCAATCAGAAAATATCCCCTTTCCCTCCAGCATTTTAAGAAAACACTTTTCAGAACTCTCATAAGCGCTGCACAGTATACTTTTGTTCCAACTGAGCTATGGAAACCCTAGTTACTGGTACCTTTAAGCCATCAGCACCATGGTGAACCCAGAAGTTTAAACTGGAAGCTGGTAAGGCCTAAAGTGATGGTTTGCACTCAAAAGCTGCCTGTCTGGTGGCTTTAAGGCAAAAGAAAAAAAAAAAAAAAAAAGACCCTTCAGAAGTTATTCTGAAAGACTTCACACATGTTAATCAAGTTATAAAGTTGGTGGAGCAAGGGTGGGAATCCTGTTTAAAATCCCAAGCACTGTACAATCTTTGTTGGGGAGTTTAAGTTAGGCTAACTAAGTGGTATATATGTGCTCCTAATATTCTATTCATAGTTTCTCATTATCCAAGGAATTCTGAAATTTTTGCTTTTCATATTTCTGCAGCTTCAATCTAAATTAATTTTGTTACATGAAAGGTCCAGAAACAACTTGAGAGAAATATTTTACCACTTAATCCTACTGTGCTTTATAACTCTATTTGGCATCTTAAATTTCTAACAGAGCATTTATTTTTAAAGTATTATTTAACAGTTATTTGTAGTGAGATTTGGTGGGGTAATATTTTTGGTTTTTTCTTATATTTATTTTATTAGTCCTCAGGGATTGTTTTTGTTGGTGGGTATTTAATTTTTGTTTTGTTTTCATTTTGAGACTCCTTTGAAAATAACCCTGAAATCTACGGGGTTTTTTAGGCTGAAGAAGTGTGTGGTTTTTTGTTTTTTTTTTTTTTTTAATAAATGAGAGATTAAATAAGCAGGAAGTTATTTTTTACCCACTTTCCATGAGAAATAATAAAATGCAGACATGTGTTATGCTTCTGGAGTTCTGGATGTTAGAACTGGATCTTGGAGTTCATCCAGCCCACGAGCCCGGTTTTATGAGTGAGGGAACTGGGGTTAGGCAAGTTAAGGAAGCTGGAGCCGGGTCATGCATGTTGACCCCACGGCTTCTGCCTCCCAGTATCCTTGCCAGTGTTGTCTGCCTTCGTAGTGCCTGTATGTACTTATTTACCGGTTTACCATCCTAGAATTTTGCTTTAAGACCAGGTCATCCAGGTTTATGGCAACCTGTAAGCTGATGTGAAACATTTCTTTTCCTTCCATGCACAGTCTTCTCAGACATCTTATTTCTTAAACAGTTTAGCTAGATAAAAATTTGATGCAGATTGCGTCCTGAATGTGAGGTCCAATTTCTTTCATACTTGAAAGGTTGCAAAGAGCTGAAGTGGTAAATGGAAGCATAGCTTGTTGTGAATGTGATGCTTTGTGTAACCTTTAGATGGATAATATTTCTATAAACTGGTATCTTAATATTGTGATTTCTCCTGCTTCAGTCGGTTCCTTAGATATTTATTTATCAGAAGAGTGTGAGTTCCCAGTTATAAGGCAGACTTCAAGAAAGACAGCGCTAAGTAGGACACAGGTGCCGCTGTCAGACAACCTGCCAGGGAAAAGAACGCCACATACCGACCCGCAAACCGAGATGTTAAAGATGTTAACATGATTGTCTTGACATTTCTGAAGAGGAAGAAAGTGCAGCTTCTTCAGGGCATCCAGGAAAACAAATGAGATAGGCCTTTGGAAGAATAGGTGGAGACAGCAAGGCAAACTCATGATGGGAAACATAGGCTGTGTGTTTGGAAACACAGCAGACAGTGTAGTGTGGTTTGGCTATAGGGTGAAGAAGGAGCTTGAAACTATATTTGGCGTCTTGAATGCTAGGGAAAGACTGCAGCTAGTTAGCATTTTAAAGCAGGTAAGTGATACTAGATCTGTACTTTAGAGGGATTAATTTAGCAGCAATATGTAGGTTGAGTGGGATGGAGAGCAGAGGTGAAGAGAATGGTGGGAAGGGATTTTAGCACGTTGTAGAGGAGTGAGAATGAGGACTTGGCCTGAATGGTGCTCATAGCTATACCAAGGAAAAGACTGATTTATGAAACCTTAGGAATATAGAAGCCACAGTATTCATCATTTGGAAAATTTTGTGATATGTGCCACTTGGAACCTTTTGTGATACGGCTAATTTGTGTTCTTCTTTTTAAAAGTCAGGTTTTTCTAATTCTAAACTTACGATATTATAATTTGAATTCCATATAATTTAGCACCCATACAGAATATAATACTTAGTATCTAGTTTCCTAACATGTAGATGTCTGCTGTTTTTGTTTAGAATTTTTTTTTTTAAATTAGGAAATACACATTCATAAACTGTCACTACTTCTGATGTGGTTGTAGATCTTTATGTTCAATTTTGTTAGGCCAGGTTGTTATTTTGGTTTCTGATTTAGCATGAATATTTACAGACTCAGTCTTGTGGTTCCTTTTGAATCTACATTGGCTTTCATAGTAGAACACTGTAATCTTCTGAAGTTTTTCCATGTTTGAAATGTCCAAGATTATGAACGTGAAAAGCTTTATACACATGGGCAGCCTGAATCAGTATATATTTCAGTATATCTAAGGGGCTTTCTTTGGGAAAGGGAGATTTACTTTCACCCCCTATCACCATCATTGGCCACATTAGTCTCTTGGAGTCCTGGGCATGCACCTAGCTCTGGGTGCTTTTTTCTCAGGGTGCTTTCTGCAAGAACCATCAAGCCAGAGAGAATTGGTATCATTACAAATAATGGTTCCTCATTTCTCATAGGGATTTCTATTTTGATTATCTAATGGCAAATATGATTATCCTTTTTTGTTTATGGTTGAAGAAACCAAGGTCTAAAGAAGTGGCTTGTCAAAATAAGTCAGTAACAAAGTTGGTATTAGTTTTTCATCTAATATATATGTGTGTGTGTGTGTGTATATATTTTATATATATGTATATATATGTATATATATTTTAAATATATAAATATAATTTAAATATATATTTTATATATGTATATTTAAATATATATTATATATTATATATATTTATATATAAATATAATTTAAATATATATTTTATATATACACACACATATATATTAGATGAAAAACTAATACCAACTTTGTTACTGACTTATTTTGACAAGCCACTTCTTTAGACCTTGGTTTCTTCAACCATAAACAAAAAAGGATAATCATATATATATTTTATATATACACACACACACACGCATACATACATACCACAACTAAGGAACAAAATTGTTTTTCAGACTCCTAAGCAAATCAGTAAACACAGGAATTTTGTTACTGGGGCATGTTTAGCTGCATCATTTCCTCCAATTTATTGTTATTTTACATACAGCTTTTTCAACTAAGAAAATGTCTTCAGAGTATTAAAAAGTAGAGTAGAAGCAGATTAAGAACTACCGTTTCCTGCCATTCTTGATTACTGAGTTGTCTTATATTACTCTGGCATATGGTTTACTTTTTAATAATTAAAAATCCCTAGTGGCATTGCAGTTATAATTGAGCTAAGTCTGTTCTCCAGAGATTCCTGCATATGTCAGTTACATAGGCACTTATACCTATTTCTTCCTGTCCTTCTAATGTATGCTACTAAGCTTTCTTTTGTGCTGCTTTGTTTGGTGGTAGGGATGAATGGAACAGAACTTGATTCACCTTTGAGAAACTTGGCCCTGTGCATTGTAAGAAATCTGGAAATTCGTCTGATTGATCTTTGCATTGATCTAAGGAGTTTTGTTGACATTGGAGTGTAACCTTGCTTGTTATGCAGGGGCAGTCTTCTGCAGCATGTGGAGTATCTGCAGGAGCACCCAGAAAGCCCGTAGTTGTAGCCAGAGTGAAAAGCCATGGTCCCCTGGTCTTACATATTTCTTATTTCCTGAGCATCCTTGCAGTTAACACCATAAAGTGAGATAGAATGTCAGGTTGATGACAGAATAAGGTCAATGTTGAGTGGGAAAAAAAGAAGAACCTTTAACTTTTTAGCAGACTGCAGAGCATTTTAAGAGTTTCAAAAGGGTTCAACTCCAAATGTTTCAGTGGCTTTGGGTCAGATTATTGTGGCACATATATATGCTTTTTCTTTTTTTCAGGCTTCTTCCCCTTCGTTTTTTGTGGTTTGTTGCAAACTTAATTATGTATGTTAAGATGCATTTATCCTTTTCAAAAACCACTTCTGGGCAAGGAAAATTCTCAACATTTTTGTGTTTAGAAGAGTTATGTGGTTGCTGGGCAAATCAGTGGCAAAAATTATTTCTTGTAGAATGTATGGGCTTTGTGTGTGATTGGCTGCATTGTCTTGAGCTTGTGTTTTTTTTTCCCCCTTTAGCTTGTTACCTATTTCAGTTTTGATTATTTACAGTTCTACAGAAAATTTGAATTTAACTTGTGACAAGATCCCTGTTGGAGAGACAGAAGGTTTAGAACATTAGTTTTGACAATTCTAGTTTTCATGCTGCTCAGAATACATTTTGTGAAATGAAAAATAACCTTGTAAGTAATATGCACATTTAATCCTGTACCATATGTATACACAGTGGGTAGTACCTTCTGCTACAGTAATACCTAACGATCGTTGGCTTGACCTGGAGTTCATGACCTTTTTCCCCTTTCAGGACACCTGTGAAAGATTTCAGATGCTAAAAAATATGGGTGAAATTGTGATGTTTCCCTGGTCGTCACACTGGTTTTTAGTGTAACATGAGCTTGGAAATATATGAGAAAAATATCTATTGAATAACTTGTTGAAGTGAAAGTGTTCAGTTTGTGGTTTGATTTATACAAAATGTTCTGGACGCTTTGTATATAAAGGGAGATCTTTCTAGCATGCCCACATTTAGTTACCATCAAAAAAGAAATTGTGAAGACAACAGGTTGAAAAAAATTGGAAGTT